AAAATTAATTAGAAAAAAAAAAAAAAAAAACAGATAAAAAGGAAAGTAGCTGCTTACTGTGGGTGTTTGGCCCGGTATCACAATGAGAGCGTACTCTTCTTCAGGTATTACATACTGCCATTGATCAACCGAATCAATTAGAAATGTAATAGACCGCCTAAAAAGATGAAAAACTCATTTATGTAACAAAATAAATAAATGAACAAAAGGGACTGCACAGTGAAACCCTACCCACGGGTTATCTCTTCCACCAAAAACTTTGCTCCATCACTTCAGTCAGATGCAATGCTAACTCGGTCTTCTTTCTTGCATGTTCTCCCATCACAGATGTAGAGTTTGTCAAACTCTTTGAGGCCGCCAATAATGGTCATCAGCCGAGTCTTATGAATAAGGGAAACTGCCATATGGGCTGTCAGGAGAGTAGAAACCCAGAAAGAGCAAATAGCTACAAAATGGAATAAAAATAGAATATAGTTTCTTGGAGTGCTGTAACCATCATGGTAACTAGCTAGAATAGACTACATATTTGGCTCGAAATATGTAGCTGTAGATGTTGGCTCGAAATATGTAGCTGTAGATGGAGAGTAGGTAGGTGGTTAGGGTTTGGGTTTCAGGAGGGCGGCTTGCTGGAGGGGAAGTGAGCTTGGAAGCAAAAGTGACTAGGGCTAGGGTTTACAGGTCCTGTATTTATAGACCAACTACATGTATATATTGGAGTATTTTATAGAGTAATGCTTTTGCCGCTCTCCATGTTTTATTCTTGGGATTCGGGAGCACTAAGGAAACTGATCTGTTAACCCTTAACCCAACTCTCTCTCCGTTAACCCTTAACCCAACTTTCTGTTTTTGCTTAACCCTCAACCCTTCTCTCTCTTCTTTTGCCTTTTTTCTGTGTCTAACCTTTGTCCTTTTTTCTTCTCTTATATATATATACACACACACACACGTGTATGTCCTCTTTTGCTTCTCAGAGGGAAAAAAAAAAAAAACAGATTCAAACCAAGTTGATTGAAGAAAAAAAATTTACTTCTACTTTAAAATTGTTAGATCGGGGAAAAGAATCCATGTTTGCAATGGTGGTGTTAATTTGTTGCGGTGGTTTTTTTATTTTGATTATTGATTTTTTTGGTGGGTTTTGATTGTGGTGGTTGTCGGGGTGGAGATTGTGGCGGTGGTTTGGGGTGACGGGGGGTGGTGGTTAGTGGCTGTTCATAGACAGGAAAAAGGGAGGCCAAAAATATTATTACCCAAAGATAGGTGACTGATTAAAACAAAAAGCTAAACAAAGAGAAATAAAGAGAGAGGAAAAAGAATTTGTTATCCTGTACGGGACGACGGTGACGGGAAGCCCAAATTGGGCTGCGACGGATCGAGATTGGAAGTGGGTTTTGAACCCAGAAGTGCCATCCTTCAGCTTGTGCCTGACGGATTAATTCTCTCAAAATTTTCAGCTAAGAGGAAGTGAGCTGAGGGTAAAACAAGAGAAGGATAAAGTTGGGTTAAGGGTTAACAGAGAGAAAGTTGGGTCAAGGGTTAACAGAGAGAAAAACGTTGTGAGAAGAGAGAGAAACTTCTGTTTCCTTGGTGCTCCCGAATCCCAACAATAAGATATTGTGCGGCTAAACATGGAGAGCGCGTGATTGCTATTGCGACAGCCCTCTCGCCGGAGCTTACACGGTTGCTAAAAAATGAAATCGGAACTGTGAAGGTATGAACCGAACCGAACGGACTCACGGTTCGATTATATTGAACCGACTATTTGCTGTTTTGTTTCCTCGTTTAGTAGAATCAGTACTGATTTGAAAGCTTTGTTGAGCCCATAACTAAAACAATTAACATAATACAAAAAAACTGATAGTATAAATTCTATAATATTACAGTCATCCCATGGTAATAAATCAATTGATAGTCTGAAATCTGAAATTTTGAATAATCTTTTAAAATAAAATGAGATGAAATATTCTTCCTTTGCTTCATGGGCATGCATCTGGAGACAAATCACAGCATTGTGGAAAGTCCAATCTAACTCTGTGCTCCTCACAAAAGTGTTTTCTCGTTCATGTGTTAGCAGATTTTACAGAGTCGGAATGACTTCTATTTCAACAACTCCACTTGGGATCCCGGAGACATTTCGAACCGAGTTTTCTTTATTATTTAATTACACAAAATTTCAAGATGTTGCTCCCATGGATAAGCTTTTCATCCCTTCTACCTCCTCATTTCTCCCAATCAATCGCGGGGGTTCCGGGCATGAGAACGCAAGGGCCAGAATCGAACAAAACAAAGAATAAATGAGATACTGCTTGAAGATGAGAGGCTGTAAGCCGCGATTTGAAGATGAGAGGATGAGAGGCTGTAAGCTGCGATCTGAAGATGAGAGGATGAGAGGCTGTAAGCTGCGATCTAAAGATGAGAGGATGAGAGGAGGCGAGGCGCCAAAGGCGATGAGGATTCTAGGAAGCTTGAGGTTAGGGCGATGACTGTCGAGGAAGCTTGGCTGCTTGAGATGAAGGGATCGAGGCGAGGGTTTCCTTGAAAGATGAGATGAGACTTTAGGTCAATTAGTCTTTGGATGAGTTTTTTACTTTTTTTTTTTTTTTTTTTTTTTTTTTTGGTGGCTGTATGAGTGACCACGTGGCTGAGATTATGACTGGTTTATGAGTGACTGAATTTAGTCACTGAATTTACTGTAGTCTTTATCACACACACACACACATATATATATGGTTCCGGTTCTTACCGGTTCCCACGGGCTGGAACCGGAATCGAAACCGTATGTTCACAATTCCTAAATTTGGAACCGAGACCGGAACTGGAACCATGAGAACCGGAAAAAATAGTTCCCGTTCTTATGGTGCCGGTTCCGATTCCACGGTTCCGGTTCTTTTGTGCACCACTACCCTCGCAATAGCATTACTCTATTTTATATAAGTTCGTTGATGATAATAAATGCATTTCTTGCGACAATTACTAAAACATGAGTTTTGGAGGCCAATTTATAATTAATATTAACCGTCATGTGACAAGAATCCTATTTGTAATAGAGGGGTGCTAATCACAGTTGCCCCGCGACTGTAGAATCTCAGTTGCTAGTTTCACGGTTGACGCGTATATTTCTTTTCTCGATAATTAATTACTATTTTTCTGCTAACTTCCTTTTAGGTCTCTCATTATATATAATTACTATACTAGCCTCCTAACTGAGAAACCATTCGCATAAATTCTCTCTTCAGAAACCTCCACGGTTTCATCTCACTTTAAAATTTTATTTTTTACAAAATTCCACATCTAAATGTTTGAAGTTCCAACACTAATTTTTTTTTTTATAACAAAAGTACATATCTAAATGTTTGAAGTTCAAATCTAAATTTTTTCAAATCCGTATTCTTTGTATTCAAAGCATTGCTCTGATTTTTCAGATTAAAAAAATTAAAGATAAAATAAAAATAAAAAAGTACTATAATTTTTTTTTTTTCAGATTATACTTTTTTTTTCATCTGATTTTATTTATTTTTATTTGAAAAACAACCGAATACTTCAAAACAGAAAAAAGTGATCTGATAATACTTTTTTCACTGATTTTTTTATTTTTTTAATCTAAAAAATCAGAGCAATACTTCGAATACAAAGAATACGGATCGAATACAAAGAGTACTTTTTTCGCATAAATTCTCTCTTTAGGAAGAAACTAAGAAACCATTTGCATAAATTCTCTCTTCACAAACCTCCATGATTCCATCTCACTTTAAAATTTTATTTTTTACAAAATTCCATATCTAAATGTTTAAAGTTCCAACACTAAAATTTTCTTTATACAAAAGTCCATATCTAAATGTTTGAAGTTCAAATCTAGATTTTTTTAGATCCGTATTCTTTGTATTCAAAGTATTGCTCTGATTTTTCAGATTAAAAAAATAAAAAAAAATTATCATAAATTAAAAAGAAAAAAGTACTATAATTTTTTTTTCTTCCGATTATACTTTTTTTTCATCTGATTTTATTTTTTTTATTTGAAAAACAACCAAATACTTCGAAACAGAGAATAGGGATCTGAAAAAATCAGGTAATTTTAGAGAGAGAACCAGATTACAGTACTTTTTCACTAGTTTCTCAGTTAGGAGGCTAATATAGTAATTATATATAATGAGAGACCCAAAAGGAAGTTAGCATAAAAATAATAATTAATTATTGAAAAAGAAAATACACCCGTGTACCACTAAACTAGCAACTGAGATTCTACAGTTGCGAGGACAATTGTGATTAGCACTCCTCATTTGTAATATTTCATTTGATTCCACTAATCAACTTTTGCCTTTTAAAAAAATGTTGTAATTATTTATGATGATTTTTACATTATTTATTTAAGCTATGTTGACGTGTGAATTACAGTTCACGGTACTTAAATGTTGCACATTTAAGTGGAGATATATTTTCATGATATATGCATCTTGAACCACATGGCATTTTCTTTCTATATTAGGGAAATAATAAAGAATTAAAAGTGGGGTGAGAGGCGCATATGTTCCAATAGCAAGTGAATTAGTATTTCCAATAAATTTTGGAGTGACCATCTTGAATTCTTTACATTTACTAATTAAACTTTTAATACTTTTTGTCTTAAAAAAACAAAATTTGGAGTAAGAGGCGGGACCGACGAACTTCCCCTTCATTTGAATTGCTCAACCTAGGGCCAAGTCAAGTCAATGGAATAAAGATAATTAATAATGGACCGACTTTTGTTTTTTCTTCAATGACCCGACCGCAAATTAATTAGTCAAAGAATTGGTGCTTCAAATTCTGCAGTATTCTAAGATAGAAAGACAAAATAGTCAGAAATGGTCTACCAAATTGGTCAGCGTACACGCACCAAATAAAAGTAGTCCCCATTTCAACGTTTTAAGTGCATGGCAATTGATAGTTTAATATACAACCAATATTACATCCAACACCTATATATACACACACAAACAAGGTTGGACTTAATTGTCTGAGCAAAAATAGACATAACTTTGCAGTAGAGGAGATCCGATCCAACAAAATTTGGTCAAGAGAAAATGGGTGAGCCTGATGATATACGCTCCGCCCCTATAACCCCAAGATCGGCTTCTATCAGACCGATACCGCCCATTTCAGCTCCTCCATCGCAGTTCCATTCCCCGTCTCTGTCCCGGTCCCCGCTCCTATCCACCGGCGACCATCCGGCAGCTGCAACCAAAACCCCCAACAAATCTCGAACGCCGCGGTTCATTACTCCATTGGGGAGTCCACTCAGAAAGGCTCTGCACCTCACAAAACTAGATCCTCAAGATGCTTGGCTCCCAATCACCGAGTCAAGAAACGGAAACGCTTACTATGCAGCATTTCATACTCTTTGTTCAGGAATTGGGATTCAAGCTCTTATCCTCCCTGTTGCCTTCACCATTCTTGGGTGGTATGTCAATTATTGTCTTTCTGCGTGCAATTACCATACTGATATCTTTATGTTACAAAAACTCACATAGTGCACATATTGTTGAAATTACTAGCATTTCGTGATTATGTATATAAATATTTACTTAATTATATTTGCAGGACATGGGGAATCATATGCTTGACTCTAGCATTCATATGGCAACTTTACACTCTATACTTACTGGTTCAACTCCATGAGTCAACTGAAACTGGGATGCGCTATAGCAGATACATGCAACTATTCAGTGCAACTTTTGGTAAGCCTTACACCCTTAAATTGCATGCATACATACATACATACATATATATATATATATATATAGAGTATTTATTATCAAAGAAAATAGTACTCTATAGTTGGTACTCCGAGTTATTCAATAATTTTTTCTAAGTAACTAATTAATTAGTTAACTAACATTGCAGGAGAGAAGCTAGCCAATTTTATAGCCCTATTTCCGATCATGTACCTAGCAGGAGGTACATGTGTGGCTCTGATCATCATCGGAGGTTCAACGTCAAAGATGTTCTTCCAGATTGTGTGTGGGACCACATGCACTGTCGAAACTTTAACGACTGTGGAGTGGTACCTGGTGTTTACATGTGCTGCAGTGCTGCTCTCTCAGCTGCCCAACTTGAATTCTATTGCCGGTGTGTCACTGGTCGGTGCCATCACCGCGGTTGGATACTGTACACTCATGTGGGCGGTGTCGGTGGCGGAGGGAAGGCTTCCGAACGTGTCCTACAATCCGGTGAAAGCCAACAGCCAGCTTGTTAGGGTTTTCGATCTTCTGAATGCACTTGGGATCATTGCTTTTGCTTTCAGAGGCCACAATCTAATACTTGAGATACAGGTAAACTTCCACATCTGGCTTAATTCCACTTCATTTTCTATAATTAATAATACTTCATTTGTCTGTATATTACTTGAGGGAAAAAAATACTCTCATATAGATTAAATTCTAAACGTGGCAGTACCATATATATGTCTTCGTCCATCCAATGATTTCTCTAACAAATTAATTAAGGATTGATCCTATTTTAATCAATTTATGATATTCACGTTGTTAATACACTCAAATGTCTAATAGAATATTTGGATACGTTTTGTTTATTGCAGGCCACTATGCCTTCAAGTGAAAAACATCCCTCTCGAGTGCCAATGTGGAGAGGTGTCAAATTTGCCTATGCACTCATAGCAATGTGCATATTTCCCCTTGCAATCGGTGGCTATTGGGCTTATGGTCATATGGTATATATTAATTATTCTTCACCTTATGCTATACAAATTTATACTCTTAATTTGAAAAAATAAAAATTATTTTTTTTGACAAATAGTAGGCTAAATTCTTATTGCTAAATGAAAATTTCTATTCACTTGCAGATACCAGAAAATGGAGGCATGCTAACAGCATTGTACGCGTTCCATGGAAAAGATGCCTCACAATTCATTCTAGGACTAACAAGCTTATTTGTGATAATAAATGCGGTGAGCTCTTTCCAAATCTATGGCATGCCAATGTTCGACGACATGGAGTCCAAGTACACGATGAGGATGAAGAAGCCATGCCCATGGTGGCTCCGGGCAATTTTTAGGGCCATGTTTGGATACGGATGCTTCTTTGTTGCCGTGGCAATCCCCTTCCTGGGAAGCCTAGCGGGACTAATTGGAGGGATAGCATTACCAGTGACTTTAGCTTATCCATGTTTTATGTGGCTCAAGGTTAAGAAGCCCAAGGTTTACAGCCCAATCTGGTGGCTAAACTGGGGTTTGGGTCTCCTAGGAATGGGTCTAAGTGCGGTATTAATTGCAGCTGGGGTGTATGTTGTCATTGACACTGGTATTGAAGTGAGCTTCTTTAAGCCTCACTAAGTACATTACTACTACTAATTTAGATAAGAATTGGGAGTGGGGGCCGGGTTTATGATTTGGAATTGGGAATAACCATATCTATATTTGTTTATATGTAATTGTGGTTTCGATTCAAAAAAAAAAGTGTATCCACAGAAATAGTATTTTTCAATTCCATCAAGATTTTCAACGTACTTAAATTATGTGGCGGTGCTTTGCTAGACTCTGGGTTCTCTGTTGTAGCAGTTCCAAATGCAGTTAAATTCATGTTTAAAGTTTCAAGTTCAACAGAAGATTTATTTCAAAAGATAAAACTAATCTGTCGAAGCACAAAATGATGTGTTGCAAAAAAGATTTTAACTATCTTTATTGAGAGGGTGGCTATATATAGACCATGACTACCAGAGCTAGTGCAGTAAGCACGAAACTTTATGATTGATAACAACATCTGTAACAAAGAAAAAATAGAATCCTATGAACTGCTAATACTCCTACTAAAAACAAAGAAGTCAATTACTGATAAGAAGCTCAGATAGTGCAGTAGCAGCACAGAGCTGTGCAGTCAGATTGTTATTCTCTTCTTCTAATTTATGACGATTTTATTCCGAGTCTTCCAAGAGACTGGTAAACCTCAAAAGATGATTTCGCTGCATAAAGTATTGCAACGGAAAGTGTTGTTCTAAATTCTGCCTGTCTCTTCCTCCCACTTGCCGCAATCCTCCATTTTTTTTTTTCATTTATCTTTCCAGCTCTTTTTTTATTTTATTTTTGTTAAATGGGTAAGCTTTATAAAAGGAAAAATATGTGCAAAATGAGTCTATCAAAGGACACCAGCCAGAGGAACATTTTCCTTGGCAGCACCACAACTAGCCATTTACAGCAAACAATCCCATAATGGAGTGCAAAACAAATTGAAGTCTAAGTATGAGGGGAACCATAGTAGAATCAAGCAAAAACCAGCATGAGTCTTAGGAGAATCCAACCAGAATCAAAGCAGAAACGAAGATTGGCCACTGGCATAGGAGCATATTTCCTTGAATGAATAGTTGTTGCATTGCTTCGAGGGAACCAATCTTCCTTATCTCAGCACCATTCTTTAGCTTAAGAGAGGCATATCTGTCACACCCCTAGACCAGAGTCCGGGTTGTGAACATACTACATGGACAACTAAGTCTCAAAGACTCCAACATCCCTGTAACCTGTTTCGACATACGCATCCACCTATTCATTCCAGTTATAATACCGTATATAAAATATACAGGTAAGATACTAATATTACAACTTTAAGTCTCAAAGTCCGTAATACCATTACAGGGATGTAACTGAACCAACATTATACAACATTTTCCCACTAATATACAGTCTTTTTTGCAAAAGAAAATACCACAACCACCAGTCCCAAATTTGTCTACGGCTGGGGATGAACATCCTCCATGATTTTCTTGTCATGACCTGAAAAGATGCGTATAAAGTCATGACCTAAAAAGATGTGTATAGAATAAGAATGAGCACAACATTAAGAATTTCCTAAAGTGCACTTCTCAGTACCTCCGTGAATCCAAACATAAAACAGAGTAGCTATGAAGAGGAAAAGAAAGAAACGAGCTTCTGCAGAATTATTTTGTATATATCTCCTTCACCTGAAATGCTGCATGTTATAAAATGCCTAATACACCCCAAGCTGTCAACCCCCATGATGGTCAAAGTGAGACCATCCCAAAATGACTACAAAGTCCCTTGGACATCACAAAATCCCAATTATGCCATTCGCATCATAAAAGTCCACAATACCCCTCATGTATTAGACAAATGACATTAAATAAAAAGAATCACATTAATAAATTAATCATGGTCTCGGAAAAAAAAATGATGCGTAAATGTCAAAATGTCCAGAAAATAGTAGAAGTGCAAAACATTACAAAATCTTGCTCTGATGCATCCCTTAATGAGGTGGATAATGTGGTTAGCTGTAGTTATCTTTCCATCTCTTCCTTCAACTTCTTCAATAAATGCATTCCTTCAACTGTTAATTTCAGTAGTATTTCTACTTCCGATTTAAGTTTCAATATATGTGCTTCCTTCTTGTCACCATCGTCTTCTTTTGCTACGTTCAAGTCATTGCCAATATTGTCACTTGCAACAGCTGAACAAATTCTTTCCGATTCTTTATTTCTTTTATCTTTTCCTTTCTTCTCTTCTTCTAAGAGGCTACCACTTCCACCACACTTTCTTTGGTTACCCTGATCAAATATAATTTTTTCTTCCTTCGACTTGATGTCAGTATTAGCTTTGTTTTCTCGTAATTCCTGGCTAATATTTCTGTTGTCACCATTTTCAGCTTCCTGAAAGACTTAGAAATTTGAGAGTAAATACAAACAAGAAGGGACAATTAGTAGGAGTGATGATAAAATTTCAGATTGTGAAGTGTGAGAACATGTATTTCATTGAATTTATACATCAGGATTGAGCTGTGCTATGGCCTTTTTGGTTTTACAAAACAAGAACTTCGACAATAATTTCACATGCAATTTTTTATTAGGTGTTATTTGATAACCTATTAATCACTTAATTCTGAAAAGATTAAATGTACATGAAATTAAGAATTTAAATATCACTTAATAAAATAAATCTCGCTTAAAATAAATTAAAATTTCAAGTGACAATTACTCCACTTGTCACCGAAAGCTAAAGCACTTGAAATCAAAAAAGAAAAAAAAAAAAATAAAATTCTTAATTTACATATTAAGCTTTAAATTTTTTTTAGGACCTTTTAAAAATTTATTTCAGTATTGTGTAATTTTGATGAGAATTATGAATAAGAAATTTATTTTGAAGCATTTCCTATGCAAATTACTCTCAAACACCACTGAACATTAGCACAGTGGTATAATTTCTATTCAAGCTCCATAATTGGCATTTATGCATGTGTTTTTTGAGTATTTATCTAACAAATATATATATATATATATATATATATATATATATATATATTTGCTGAAACAAGTTTCTAATATCTCTTCTTCCTTTTTTGAATTTACAGGCGTGTGAGTAATATCCCTATCAAAATACATCAAAATACTATATTGAGGTCTCCAAAATAAATACTACATAAATTCAGTACTTTTGTCAACAAAAGTACTGAATTTTCTGTTCTTTTTTTTTTTGGTTGACAGAATACTCCCTTATATATATATATGGATTGAAAAAATCAGAGTGCCTTTGCTTATGTGAATCTTGCATATAATTGTGTGTATCGATATGTATTTGTGTATCTATATGTTTGTATGCAAACATATGTTATATAATATATTCCAATCAAACAAAAATATGTCAAATATAAAAGAAAGGGCGGGGCTAGCGTTATATTAATTCTTGCGCACCTTCCGTTTATTTTCTTTTTCTGGAAGCCCCTCAGCAAATCCGTGGTACATCACGTTAGAGATAAAAAAAAGGCAAACATGGCCCCAGATAGCCCCTTAGTCGTTCCTGAACACCACATACATACCACATAAAATATGACCACTCTTTCCATCCAGAATAGAAATGTCCAATAAGGTTCGATTGCTCGATATTCCTTACTTCTATTGTCAACTTTTTCCGTTTCCTGCAATACTTACAATTTTGAGAGTAAATACAAACAACAACGGACCATTACTTGGAATAATGATAAATCTTCAAATTGTAAAGTGTGAGAATATGAATTTTATTGGCTTTATACAATTAGCTACATCAGGATTGAGGTGTGCTATGGGCTTATGCTTTATTAGGGGTGGCAATTCGGGTTCGCGTGTCATAATCGTGTCGTGTCAATTTAGGGGTATAACACTAAACATGTCAACCCGAACACGACACGATTAATAAACGTGTCACACATCCTAAACCCGAACACGACTCGTTTATTAAACGGATGACACGACACGACACGTGTAACCCGTTTAATAAACGAGTCGTGTTAAGACACACCAGACACGACCTGTTTAACCGTTTAACCCGTTTATCCATTTAACATCATTTTCCTTTTCTTTTTCTTTTTTAAATTGGTAAATCTTATTAATATGCCATGTAAATGATTCAGATATATGAGTATGTACATCCAAACAAGATCCTAACTAATTTTATTGATTTTACATAAAGGTACATAAATTCGGAAGACTATGAAGGAGGGTTCGAAAAATCAGATATTGAGCAAATCTTGTCAAATGTAGAGTTCAATTTCAACAATTAGGCTTCACACTTTGCTTCTCTGGTTGTTGATGCAAGCGATCCTCTCTCTCTATAGAAATTCGAAAAGTGCTTGAACAGAATGAGGCCTGAAGCTGCACTCTCAGCAACAAAACTTGTTTTTCAGAGTGATGAAAGAGACACTCTCAAAAAGGTTACAACCCCATGCACCATCATCTTGACCACTAGCGACATCGTTGTACAGTCCTGTATCCCCGGCTACATGCAGAGGAAGATCAAGGGCGAAACCACGATTGAAATCATCGACACCCATCAGCAAGGTTTAGATAAAAAAAAATATTTAATTGATAACAAAGCCTAATAAACAATCAAACCCAGTAAATCAGCAATCAAGCAGATAGATCGATCCAATAAACAAAATCCAAACGAAAAACAGTGGATTTATTATTTCATTACATAAACCATGAATCTTAGATAGAGAATCTTAGATAGAGAGAGGAGGACCAAAACAATATTTAGATAAACCATAAATAATTATAGTATTTTACCTAAACAAGAAGATAGATCCACGTGAGTTCACTGAGTTGTAGAGGAATGGAGGATTTGAGAGAGAAAGGGAGTTGTCTTTTGTCTGAACTCTGAAGAGAAAAGAGGAGAGAGAGACTGAAGAGAAGAGAAAGAAAAATCCGCCGCTGCAATCTGCATAGTGAATCTAATGACTAAGGGGCTAAGGGCGTATAGTGATAGGGTTTCTTATGAGTTATGTATACTATGCAATGACCAAAATGTCCCTTATCATGTCAAAACAGGTTATACGGGTTCACGGGTGACACATTTAATTAAACGGGTCAAAACGGGTTAAACGGGTTGAGTCATAAAACCCGAATACGACACGTTTAACTTAATGGGTTAATCGTGTCAACCCGTTTACGACACGAACCCGTTTATAGTAAACTCATTACCCATTTAACTCGTGTCGTGTACGTGTCGTGTTGGCGGGTCGTGTCGAATTTTGCCACCCCTATGCTTTATACAAAACAACAACCCTGACTTTCTCTATTAGATGTTGTTTGATAACCCTCTGTATGAGTAATTCCGAAAAGGTTAAATGTTTATATAATTAAGAATTAGGTTGTGGGCATTAAACACTCATATAGATTGTATAACTCTATATATTCTCAAAACTCCTTAATATCTACTTTGGCATTGTCAGTAGAGCCTGATGAAAAAATTATAGTGCCCTATGTAACTAATATGTATATTGAAAACTAACTAAGAATCATTTTGAGGAGCAAAAAGGTGACTTCTTAAAGGTCTTTTTTTGACTTGTCATAGACATTAAGCCTTTATTTATCACATTTTTTCAAATTTAACAGACTTATAAACACAAAATAGGGGTTTTATTTACACAAAATGTAAACTTTAGTGTTTTTTTATACTTTACTCTTAAGAATTTGAATATTATTATTTTTAAAATAAATATCCAAAAAATAAATTAATATTTCAAGTCACAGTGACTTCACTCATCACCCAATGCTAAACATCTCAAATCTAAAAAGAAAAAAAAAAATCTGAATTTACAAATTAAAATTAAGCTTTTAAAAGTTTTAGTACTTTGAAAAATCTGATTTCAGTGTGGTATAATTTTGATGAGAATTATGAATAAAAAATTTAATTGAAGCATTCCCATGCATATTGTGAATCTAATCTTGTGTCTATATATATGTGTGTGTGTTTTTTTTTTTTTTTTTTTTTTTTTTTGAAATGTTAAGCAAATTATATCAATAATTATAAGCTGCAGTATGCAGTATGGGCCTTAGTGAAGGCCCAAGACTTACAAAAACAGGTTACAATGAACCATACCACCCTGAGGCCGCACATCATTGTGAGGCGTAGGAGATCTATCAATCCTCCATCACAAACTGAGAAGAGAGGTCAGCAGCGATGGACGAATATATATATGTGTTGTATGCATACATATGTATATAATAGTATATTCCAATCAAACAAACAAATATATGTGACAAAAAAAAGGGAGAGAGAGAGAGAGAGAGAGAGAGAGAGAGAGAGAGAGAGAATAGGACTAGGATTACAAGGTTGTGCACCTTCTGATTTAATTTTGAGCTGCAGATCCCCAAGTAGATCCCGTTAGAGAACATAAAAAAAAGTACGATCAGATCTAGGCCCCAAGTTGTTTCTGAATAAAACATACATAACATACCAAAAATAATAGCACGTTCCAGACAGAATGCAAACAACATAGCTCCCGACACAAATGATGAGACTAGCTAATTTGGTCAAATATGCACTCAATCTCTTAAACCCTACTATATATATGTGTGTGTGTGTGTTGTATGTGCTAATGTGCGTGTCCTGTGCATTGGAAATCTCTTCCTAGGATGACTCTTAAGATCTCAAGCCCAAAGGCAAAAGCCCAGATGATCGTAGCTAAGGCCACAAGCCAACTCAGGCCCACACTATGGAGGGTTGAAACAACATTATTTTTATTTCAGCTCCTCCATTGCAGTTCCATTCCTCCGTCCCGGTCACCGCTCCTATCCACCGGCGACCATCCGGCAGCTGCAACCAAAACCCCCAACAAATCTCGAACGCCGCGGTTCATTACTCCATTGGGGAGTCCACTCAGAAAGGCTCTGCAACTCACAAAACTAGATCCTCAAGATGCTTGGCTCCCAATCACCGAGTCAAGAAACGGAAACGCTTACTATGCAGCCTTTCATACTCTTTGTTCAGGAGTTGGGATTCAAGCTCTTATCCTCCCTGTTGCCTTCACCATTCTTGGGTGGTATGTCTTTGTGCATGCAATTAATTTCCATACTTATATCTTTATGTTACAAAAACTCACATACTGCACATATTGTTTTAAATTGCTAGTTCGTTTCATGATTATGTACGTATATAAATATTTACTTATATATATATGCAGGACAAGGGGAATCATACGCTTGACTCTAGCATTCATATGGCAACTTTACACCCTATACTTACTGGTCCAACTCCATGAGTCAACTGAAACTGGGATGCGCTATAGCAGATACATGAAACTATTCAGTGCAACTTTTGGTAAGCCTTGCACCCTTAAATTGCATACATACATACATACATACATATATATACTAGGAAAAGGCACGTGTTTAATGTTTTGTAGATAATGTGATAGAGTTTTATAGAAAATAAAACATCCAATTTGTGGTAGATTTTATAAAAATTATTTTATTTTCTTTAAATATATTTTTATTTAATTATATTTTCTTTTATTAAAAAAACTCATAATAAATAGATAATATGTGTTAGAATTTTATACAAACTCTTTTGAAAATTCTTTTTATATCAATTAATAAATATTTTTTTATATTAATAATTCTTGTCTAATTAGATTTCAATAAATAAATAAATAGGTAATCTGTATTAGAGTTTATAGAAACTCTTTTAAAACATCTTTTTATATCAATTAATAAATAATTTTTTATATTAACAATACTTGTCTAATTAGATTTTTTTTTATTAAAAAACTCAAAATAAATAGATAAATAGGTAATTTCTATTAGACTTTTTATAAAAAATCTTAAAATATATCTTTGTCTAATGTATTATAATTTTATTGAAAATAAAATAGGTAATTTGTGGAAGAGTTTTTCTAGTTTAATTATATTTTCTTTTATTAAAAAATTTATAATAAATAAATAAGTAATTTGTGTTACAGTTTAATAGAAACTCTTTTAAAAACTCTTTTTATATCAATTAATAAATATTTTTAAATTTTAATAATTCTTGTCAAATTAGATTAGCTTTTATTAAAAAAAAAAAAAAACTCATAATAAAAGGTAGTTTGTGACAGAATTTTAGAAAAATTATTTTATTTTTTATATCAATTAAAAAATATTTTTTATATTAATAATTCTGGTCTAATTAGAATTTCTTTTATTAAAAAACTTATAGTAAATAAATAAATAGGTAATTTGTATTAGAGTTTAACTTAAACTCTTTTAAAAATTCTTTTTATATCAATTAATAAATATTTTTATTTTAATAATTCTTGTCTAATTAGATTTACTTTTATTAAAAAAATTCATAATAAATAGATAAATTGGTAATTTGTGTTAGAGTTTTTTATAAAAACTCTTTTGAACCTCTTTTTATATCAATTAATAAATAATTTTTTATATTAGTAATACTTGTCTAATTATATTTCATTTTATTAAAAAACTCACAATAATAAACAGGTTATTTGTGTTAGGGTTCTATATAAAATCTTTATTATCTAGATTTTAGTATTTATATTTTTTTTATATATAAATAAATAAATACTGAAACTCTTTACACATCTAATAATAGTATAGATAAAAACTCTTTTTAATAAATACTGAAACTCTTTGCTCTGTAATTCTAAATTTCTAGAATTCTCAATTTCTATACCCCTTCCTCCTTCCTCTATGTCTCTATTTATAGGCTTCTTGGATTAATAGAATTATGACATGTGTCCTTTTCTTATAATGACATAATCATAACTGAGCGGGCCAGTTATATTGTGATAATTATCTATAAAAAATAACTATTCTTTTTATATTGAATTAAAAATAAGAGCTTTATATAGAATGTGATTGATATTATTAGGTAATTTTGTAATTAATAAATATTTTTTATTTTAATAATTCTTGTCTAATTAGATTTACTTTTATTAAAAAAAACTCATAATAAATAAATAAATAAGTAATTTGTATTAGAGATTTATAGAAACTCTTTTAAAACCCCTTTTTATATCAATTAATAAATAATTTTTAATATTAATAATAATTGTCTAATTAGATATTCTTTTATTAAAAAAAACTCATAATAAATAGATAAATAGGTAATTTGTGTTAGAGTTTTATACAAAATCTTTAAATATATCTTTGTCTAGTGTGATAGAGTTTTATTGAAAATAAAATAGGTAATTTGTGAAAGATTTTTATAAAAATTATTTTATTTTCTTTAAATATATCAATGTCTAATTAGATTTAATTTTATTAAGAAACTCATAATAAAAGCTAATTTGTGGTAAAGTTTTAGAAAAATTATTTTATTTTATATATCAATTAATAAATATTTTTTTAAATTAATAATTATTGTCCAATTAGTTTTTCTTTTATTTAAAAATTCATAATAATAAATAGATAAATAGGTTAATTTAAATTTTATTATCTAGATTTTAGTTTTTTAAATATTTTTTTTATATAAATAAATAAATACTTAAATACTGAAACTCTTTGCACGTCTAATAATAGTATAGATAAAAACTCTTTTTATATCAATTAATAAATATTTTTTTATATAAATAAATAAATATTGAAATACGGAAATTCTTTGGAGAGTTTATGTATTTTACTCTAGAATTTTGGATTTCTAGAATTTTCAATTTCTGTACCCTTTCCTCCTTCCTCCATGCCTCTATTTATAGGCTTCTTAGATTAGTAGAATGATAACATGTGTCCTTTTCTGATAATTACATAATCATAATTGACATGAAAGTTATATAGAATGTGATTGATTTTATTAGGTAATTTTTAGAGTTTTATATAAACTATTTTTACAAAAACTATGGTTAAATCAATTAATAAATATTTTTATATATAAAAAATAAATACTGAAATACTGAAACACGTTGCATTATTTTATTATGTAATTTTTAATTAATAAATATTTTTTATTTTAATAATTATTGTCTA